ACAGAGATCTGGTCCTGCTGCCTGCAGCCACGTGGTCCCACGCATTTCTTATAGGTCTATTGTGTACACGGTGCTGTGCTAATAGGGTGGGGGTGGGGAATGGTGAGTGAGGGCATGAGAGGGGTACATCCCAGACTCCCGTGGTTCACAGTCCAACAAACAACGGGTTAGATGGGGCTGAGGCCGTGCGGAGAGAACGGATCCGGTCCGATCCTACCATCACCGACCTGCTCCCCCCAGAGTCCATTTGCCTCCCTCTTTTGACCTTTTCAGTAAGAAATCCACTTCTCCAACCACTTCTGGGAGCCACTGCCACAGTTCCCGGAATAACGTAAAGCTAGCCCTGCTGTCAATGTCCTCATGTACAGATAGGGAAACTGAGGCTCAGAGAAGGACCTGACTAGGGTGACACAGAAAGCTAGGATGCCAGCGACTCCCAAGAGGCCCCCACCCCGGTGGTCTACTCCGTCTGCAGCGCCCCCTTGCCTCTGATTGTCTGCGTCTTGATCCAGTTTAACGTTCTGTCACTGAGTTCAAGGCTTTTACTATTTTGTCTCTTCTCCACCTCTGGAATGGTCGTGCAGATCAGGGCCATGGTCTGAATTGCTCACACAATTCATTCTGCGTGTGCCCAGTGCCTCCAAAGGGGTCTGACCCATAGTAGCTGCTCAATAAACATTTGCTCGTTGAATGGATTAGTAGCCAAGAGGGAACTGGCTCCCAGGCCAGCGCGTCTCCCCGCATTTGCTGTCTGCAGAGCTCAGGGAGGTCTCGGTGCTGGGAGGATGGATGGCCTGGGAGTTTGGAGCACCAAATGGCGGGGTTTGGGGGGGGGAGGGGAAGTGGGGAGGGGAGAAGGAGCTGCGGAGGGGGGTCTGCTTTAATTGTCAGAAGGCAGCTGGCCATTTGTTTTTGGTCAGATAAGCTGCCAAAATAGGCCTTGTGAGTATGTGAGTGTGTGAGGCTGGGCTGGGGCGGGGAGCGGAGTCCCAGAGTGGGCTGGGCTGCCCCTGTTCCCGGGGCCCTCCCTCCCCTTTCCCTCTGATAGCTCGGCCAGCTGTTAGGGACACAGCTGCCTCTTGGGGAGGGAGAAAAGGGCCCTGTTGCCCTGGGTGAGTTCTGAAGCTGCGGAGTTCAAAGCAAACCTGAGGAGTGAGGGGGCCGGAGCGGGAGGCAGGGAGGGAGGGGAGCGGGAGGCAGGGAGGGAGGAGGTGAGAAGTCAGCGAGGGGCAGGGAAAGGCAGGCTTCCTCTTTGAAGCCCTCCACCCAGAGCGTGGGGCAAGGCCTGGCGCGGTTCCTGCGTTTCCCCCTCGTCCCAGGCCCTTAGATCCAATTAACCACCCTTTCCTGTCTTCCAAGGAGGATGTTTATCCAGATCCCGGGCCTACCACACACTTGCTACGTAAATAGTGCACCCAAAGCACACACAGGCCCCAGGCACACACAAGTCCCGTATGCTCACAGGGGACCCCACGACACACACCAGCCCCGCACACACATGTGCACAGCCACACAGCCAGGGCACAGGGCCAAGCTGGTCTCTGGTCTCCAGGCCAGGAACCCACCTGGGGGTGGGGTGGGTGGAGGACTGCTATTGATTCAAGGACTCCAGAGGTCCCCCAGCAGCCTGGGCTCTTCTCTATGGCCGATCTGGGGGCCGTTCATCTCAGGCTCATCACAAAATCCTGAGAAATCACCCAGGAGAGACGAAGTCCCCCAGACAACCCGTTCGGCCTCTCCAGGACAGGCCAGCCCGGGGACACAGCCTTAGCTGCTGGTTTGCCAGGGGCTCAGGCTAGATTATTCCGTGTCAATTTAACAAAAGAAGGTGCCCTTGTTAATGAAGGAGAACAGCTCCAGGTGAAGACCAGCCTCCCCCATCCCTTTCCTGAGTGGGTTCTTATGGCTACAAATTACCAGGCACCAAATTGCGGGGCCACAGGAGTGAAAAGCAGGTCCTGCCCATGTACTCTCTCTCCCTGGTGAGGGCTTCCTTCTGTGCCTTGGGGGCATGTATGGTCTGGTCCTATTTACTGAACTCACATCTTCTGTGTTGGATGGGCAGGGACCTTGGGTGTCAGGTGGGGTGAGGAGGGAGGTGGGCTCATTCTGGTCATCTCTGCCACTGCTGGGCCCATCTGGCTCCAGCTGGCTCTCAGTTGGAAGCCAGGTCTTATCAACACTCCACCCGCTCTGGCCCCAATCAGCGGCCCCCGCCCAGCCTTGGCCCCCCATTTCCTCTCATTTCAACCAGTCTGATTCCCCTGGTGAGATTAATTGCTTCTTACCCCCTGTGAGGCAGAGAGCCCGAGGCCAGGGGATTAAAGTGATGAATGCCTACCCTCTCCCACGGGCTCTCTATCTGACTCAGGATCCAAATGGGAACAGCTGGGAGGAGGGGCCTGATTTTGGGGCCACGTGAACTCACTTGCACCCCTCCCTCTATGTTCCCAGCTGCAAAGGACAGGGGTACCTGCACCTTTCTGGGAGAAGCAGAGATCTGGATTCACTGGGGGTCCTGAACTTGGCCTTTATCCTGGAGTGTCCTGAGCAGTCATTTTTATTGTAACAGGAACATCAGCTGTGAGCTGAGTTGAGCCAAACAGGTTGCAGCACAACGCTACTGTCCCTTCTGATAGGTCAAGGTTGATGAAGGTTAATTGGTGCCACCCAAGCTTGCGGTCGGGTTACAACGACAATCATTCTGCCACCCACACAGGCTTCTATTAGGCAGACGTGCAGGAGAAAGCAGGCACCAGGCAGTTAGTTCGCTGGGTACTGTGAGAGCCGGGAAGCCCGAGCTTGGGTCCTATTGAGTGTCCTGAGCACTATTCTGCAGACTGCTAAGATGTCACCTCTCCGGCTGGTATCAGGCGGCCAGGAGTCCTCTTTGGGAATGACCGGGCACGGCACTATTTCTGGACCAAGATATGTTGCCAACCCCGAGGGTTTAGTGTAGACTGTTTCCTGGCAGGATTCATATACGCTGTTCAATCAAGAGGGGGGAGTCTCTCTGAAATACTTTAGCCAATCTATTTTAAATTTTCCCCAAGAAGGCTTATTTCAAAGTAAATGCCATGTATCCTAGCACCGTTGTACATTTCTATAATGCTCAACAGATGACAAGTGCCTCAATTTAAAGAGGGTTGGAGTTTTTCCCTGGGGATCATAGTGGGTTCGTCTATGGACTCAAGGCAGCTTTGGCTCAAATTCTGACCCTGACCATTACCAGCTGGATGACCTTGGGCAAGTTATTTCACCTCCCCATGCCTCAGTTTCCTCATCTGCAAAACCAAGTACCGATTTCCTAAAGTTGTCTTGCTGATTAAAAGAGATAACAAATACACAAAAAATAGAAAATGTTTAGAAGAATTCCTAGCACGTAGTAGGGACTCAATGTGTAACCCTCAGGAGAAACACCAAGGTATTCTCTTGTGCTCATTGCCTTTAGGTAAAGGTCATCCAAGACCCTCAGGATCTTTCTTATTCTCTCCAGCCTCTTCTCCTGCATCTCCCATTGCACCCTAAGGCTTTGGCTGTGTTTATTTTCATTTTTTAAAAAAATCTTTGCATTTTATGTTTCTTCCTCTTGGTCTGTGCTCCCTGTGTTTCTCCCACCTTCTATTCTTGGCTCCGGTTCAAAGAACAGGAGCCCAAGGGCTTGTTTTCCTGCCCTGCCCATCTTTCTAAAAATGGTTTTACTTTCCAAAATTTAGGATATTTCTCATAAAATCCAGAACTTGAAGTTATGTTGAAAAACCAGAAGGCATGGAAATGCTGGCAACCAGAGACAGAGCTGAGGCAGCCTCCTTTTGATGGAGTGTGCTGGTTCTGGTTTGCCGAAGTCTCCATCACTCCGTATTGTCTCAAACTGGCTGTTTACCCATATACGTTCTTAGCCTGATCCTTGTGGGTACTTGAGCTGGGGGCTTTCTGAACAAACCTCCCTGAAGACAATGGATTCTAGTTTTGTAAACCCTTTGCATTGGATGTGGGTAAGCCTCAGCTCCTGATTTCGCATCACTTCACCCTTGTCCAATTTTAGGCGGCCTCCTCCACTCTTGGGGGGTGGGTATTATTTTACTTTATCTTGTGCACTCTTCCCTCCTGTCTGCCCAGAGGTCCTGGAGAGGTGGGCAGGGCAAGATGAGTTTCTATAGCACTGTGCCCTTGGCATCTGTTCCGGGTTGCTCCTTTCTCTGCCTCCTCCTCTAGCTGTAACACCCTGTCCCTGGCCTTACAGAAGCTCCTTGTCCATGTAGGGCATAAGAACCCGAGAACTGAAATGCAGCCATGCTCTCATTACATAGGTCCTCATACACTCATTCCTTTTCCTGTGGACTCCCTTTGTCATTCTCTCTCTGATTCACCCATTTGCTTATTCACTCAACAACCATTTAGTGATCACTTACTACATGCCGGCACTGTGTTAGGTGCTTGGAGAAGAAGAAAAGCAAACAGCAAAACCAGGACAAAAGTCATCCTGTGACCTTGGGCAAAAAATAGTTACCTTGTTAGGCCTCAGTTTCCCCGCAGGTTTAATAACTTGATTCGATATTCTTTTGTCTGGGGTTTCTTCCATCCTGTGACTCTGTCCTGACTCTAAAACTTCCGATGCCATCTGCAAATTGCTATCTGCTGACAGCTTATGAATTACAGAGAAATCTCCCTGTACCTGCGTCTGTAAGATATAAAAGTTCCCAGAGAGAGGGTTAAAGCGGAAGGGTAAAGGAGAGTGACATGAGTGAGAAAAGTACAGGGAAGTCTGGTCTGGGAGAAGGCAGGGCGGGCAGGAGTGGAGGGAGGGTGGGACAGACCCAAAGGGCTTGCCAGATGCTCAAAATCTCACACCCTCCTGGTCCCCAACCCACCCTGGCTCCAGCTAGGGCTAGATTTCAATCTGCATAATTTGCCCCATTTAGAGAAGGTGGGAGGGGGTGAGAACAGGAGGGTGGTGAGGACTGGGGGGTGGGGGGGGGCGCTCTCGAAGATCTAGAGGAAACCAGAGGGATAGAGGCGGGACCAGGAGGAGAGTGGGCTGCAAGCCACAGATAACATTCTGCCCAGCACAGCAGGGGTCAATTTGGTTCACTTGCCCAGTGACAAGAAGGAAAAAAAAAAAAGTGGGCTGTAACCTAAGGATCTTAAGACTCGCAAGTGAGGGGTTGGTTTGGAGGTGGGAGGAGGGAGTGAGGAGTCGAGGAGGAGACCGGACTCGGGAGGGTGCAGGAAACTCTTTGGGGCTGGGGCCAGGCAGGAGAGGGTGGGGAAGTCTGTGGGCGCCGTCATCCTCCAGGGTCCGGTCCAGAGGCAGCTTCTCCCGCTGTTGGGACGGGCTCTGGACACCTTCAGCTCTTCTTGCCTGTTTTCCAAGGCGCAAGCCAGAAGCTCGGGCGCTTGCTTGCTGAGCTGGTGACACAGGACACAGCCACAGAGCTGGTTCCCTCCGGGACCCCCTGCCTGCCTGCTCTCTGCCCGGCAGCATGGAGGAAAGTAGCGAATATGACAATGACTATGGGGCAGACAACCTGCCTGGGTGTGTGTACACGGACTGGAAGTCCTCGGGGGCCCTCATCCCTGCCATCTACCTGCTGGTCTTCCTCCTGGGCACCACGGGCAACGGCCTGGTGCTCTGGACCGTGTTCCGGAGCAGCCGGGAGAAGAGGCGCTCGGCTGACATCTTCATCTCCAGCCTGGCCGTGGCCGACCTGACGTTCGTGGTGACCCTGCCGCTGTGGGCCACCTACACCTACCGGGACTACGACTGGCCCTTCGGCACCTTTGCCTGTAAGCTCAGCAGCTATGTCATCTTCGTCAACATGTACGCCAGCGTCTTCTGCCTCACCGGCCTCAGCTTCGACCGCTACCTGGCCATCGTGAGGCCGGTGGCCAACGCCCGGCTGCGGCTGCGGGTCAGCGGGGCCGCGGCCACGGCGGCGCTCTGGGTGCTGGCCGCGCTCCTGGCCACGCCGGCCATGGTGTTGCGCGCCACGGCCGAGGTGCCTTCCGGCCCGGACAATGTCACGAAGGTGGAGTGCTACATGGACTACTCCATGGTGGCCACCCTCAGCTCCGAGTGGGCCTGGGAGCTGGGCCTGGGGGTCACGTCCACGGCGCTGGGCTTCGTGGTGCCCTTCACCATCATGCTGACCTGCTACTTCTTCATCGCGCAGACCATCGCGGGCCACTTCCGCAAGGAGCGCATCGAGGGCCTGCGCAAGCGGCGCCGGCTGCTGAGCATCATCGTGGTGCTGGTGGTGACCTTCGCGCTCTGCTGGATGCCCTACCACCTGGTGAAGACGCTCTACACGCTGGGCAACCTGCTGCACTGGCCCTGCGGCTTCGACCTCTTCCTCATGAATGTCTACCCCTACTGCACCTGCATCAGCTACGTCAACAGCTGCCTCAACCCCTTCCTCTACGCCTTCTTCGACCCCCGCTTCCGCCAGGCCTGCACCTCCATGCTCTGCTGCGGCCACAGCAGGTGTGGGGGCGCCTCCCACAGCAGCAGTGGGGAGAAGTCGGCCAGCTACTCCTCCGGGCACAGCCAGGGGCTCGGCCCCAACACCGGGAAGGGCGGAGAGCAGACCCAGGAGAAATCCATCCCCTACAGCCAAGAGACCCTTGTGGTTGACTAGGGCTGGGACCCCAGAGAAGCCTGGTGCCCTCTGCACGCCCCAGCCCTCTCCCTTGCTCTCTGAAAGTCAGGTAGCTCGAGGGCACTTTTGCTCTGGCACTGGACGCCATCCTGGCTCCCTGCCTCCCGCCTTCCTCTTGCACTCCTTTCTCCTTTAGTTTTTGGTCAGAGGTTGCGGTGTGATGGAAGGAGACTGAGCCCTGCAGATGTGAGCTCGGCCACTCAACATCTGTGAGACTGACTCTGCACCAGTCTCTCAACTTCTCCGAGCCTCAGTTTCTCCATTTGTGTATGTATAATGGGGGAAGTCATACCGGCACGGAAATGATGGGTGCGTCTGGCTCAGTAAAAGTTGGTGTCTTCACCCCTCCCCTCCCATCTTTCATTCTGGGATCTCAGCTCTTTTTTCTCCTTCCTTTCTGTTTAGTTTTCTCTACCCTCTCCCTCCCTTTGTTTTTCCCTCTATCTCTGTATAGTTTTTCCCCCTCTGAATCCTTAGCTCTGGCTCCCGCCCTTCTCCCATAGCTCATTCCTCCCCTCAATCCATTCTTCCTCCTCTTTTTACCTCCTTGTTGTGAGGGGCTCCTAAGGGTTAAGAATCCCGAAGCTTGTAAACACTCTTTATCCTGTTCTCTGAGAAAGCCAAGGGAACGGGCTGGGGCGGGGCGGGCTGGGTGTCAGGGACAAGTTAGCACTAGCACTCCAGTCTGCAGGAGCTCCAAAACTTTCCCCCAAATCGCATCAGAGGGCTGTGATTTCAGGCACCTCTGGGGGCTCCCTTCCTGCAGCCCATCCGTGATGCCAACCAGACGTGCTTCCTGCAGTTTTCCTGGGACGCTGTCATTCATCCTCTCATCTCTGCGGGAACTGAAGGGCAGTGGGTTCACAAGCAACGGGCTCCTTGGATTCCTCCTGTGAATGGGGGGTTGGGAAGGGACAGGGAGAAAAAGGAGAGTCAGCATTTGGTCTACATGTGACTTGGCTTCTCTCCCACAATCTTGCCCACCCCCCCCAACCTCCTTCAGAGCTGAGCTTACCCTACCCCACCCATCACCCCAGGATGCGTTTCTTGGGCACTGGTGCTACTCCGTGCCAAGAGTCAACTTTGGATGTGGTGGAGATGCTTGCCTTGTGTGTGTATATGTATATATATGTAAGCCTGGGTGAACATAGCATGACAGCAGTGTGCCTGTGTCACTTGTCACTTGGATGAACCCCCCCATCTCTATTCTTCACACAGTATGTTTGAGAGAAGAAGGGGCATATTGAGGCAATATGGAATAAAAGGGAGCCCACCCCCACTGGATTTGGGGGCTCTGACGGCTGGTCCGTGCTTTAAGAGAGAAGCCTGTGTTTGTGTTTGCTCCTGGCTTCCTGTAGGGACATCCCTCCCCAGAGCTGCTGACACTGAGGCTTGGGGACGAACTATGGTCCCATGTGCTGGGTCCCCAGACCTTCCCTAGTTCCAGTGGAAAGCTGCCCTGGGCCCCGTTCTCACGCCTTCTCACCTTGCTTTGAGTTTATGGGCGTTTCCTTCAGCACCCTCCCTTTTTCCGGGGTCTGTGACCCTCTTCCTAAGGGGGGGACATCTGCTTGCCATGGGGCAAAGAGCCCTGTGGGTTTTTCTCACTCCACCATTAGGATCGGACCCATTGGCTTCTCTTGCTTGATTGGGGGCTGAGAGCAGTGCCTGGAGCAGCCGTGCAGGGCTGACAGCATGAGTCCACACATCCAGAGAGACCTTGAGGGCGGCATTGATGGTCCGGCCTTTGTGAGCTGGGGGCAGGGTGTGTATGTTCCGGGTTTTGTCTTTGGAGGATTCTAGACGTGAAGGACAAGACATCAGCCACGGCGGCAGGAAGAGCCCAGCTTGGTGTAAATGGACATCTTGGTCATTGCTGGGATGAGGCCAGCTCTGGGAGTGGAAGGAGGAGGAGAAGGAGAATGGAGAGACTCAGCTTAGTAATCTCCCTGTCACAAGCCAGCATCTTCCACAGACTTACTTTCTCAGCCCAGGGCTGTCCTCAAAGCATCCAGCCAAGGGTGAAAGAAGCTTCTAGAAGGGAAGAGGGTGTGCCCCTCAGAGACCCTCCTGGGGACTTGCAGAGACCTCCTGCCTGGAACTCACCAGTGGTCCTGAATAGAGGGTGGAGGAGGCTGCCTGCAGTGTCCCTCCCTTGTCCCCAATCTGCCCCTTCTTGTAATGTCTATGCTATTTTCTGACCCTGTTGGTCACTGTGGTTCATCAAATAAATCTGTTTTGTGTAACTATTGTGTTCAAAGACCCTTCTCACACAAGTGTCTTAGGATGCCAAAAAGACCCCCAATTTACAGATGTTACAGTGGGAGGTGGTGTGAACCCAGCTGAGAGAGAATAAGAAGGGAAGTGGAAGCTAAAAGGACTAAAGTGGGAAACTGGAAAGGACATGGGGAAGCTGCAAGAAGATGGAGGAAATAGACCCCAGGGAAGCAAAGCTTTCAGGATGAGATCAGGGGGAAGGCAAAGGAAATAAAGGGATGGGGAGCAGCTAAGTTTTTGTGTTTGGAAAAGCCTAGAACAAATGGGCACACATTTTGGAGACTAGAGCACAGATCTGAGGGAAAATATTAACATTTCTTCCTGTGAAGGTAGACCTATTATTTATTCACTAGAGGCCCACCCCCGATCAGGGCCGGGTGGGGGGAAGGACCGCAGTCGGTTGGTGGGTCAACCTCACTCCCTGGTGGAACTTCCGGTCGAACTCCCGGTAGAGGAGCAATTTGCATTTTAGCCTTTTATTATATAGGATTAATTGATCCCTTTATTCATCTATCATCCCCTATTGACTCATTCATTCATTATCACATGAGCATCCATTCAGTTACACCAGAAGTTCCAATGCTTGTTCTCCAACCAGAGTCACTCTGGATGGTTTTGTAAACACTCATGCTTTTTGTCACCCAGACCAATGAATTCAAATCTCCTGGACTTACCCCACAGTTTATAATTACTAAAAATTCCTCAAATGATTTTGGGGGAGGACACGTTTGGATATGTTTCCATCTACATAGATTCTGTCCAAATTAACATGGGCACAAAAAGACTAGAGAGTCAGAGGCAGAAGCAACCGGGCTCTGGACGGTTATGGAATTGGGGGAGGACAGGGCTGGAATGAAGATGTGTTCACTATCTTCCACAAAGACCTCTGCTACTAAGAATGTTTGCAGATAACACAGACACAGTCCCTGTGGTAGAACGGGTAGGAACATGAGAGGTCACATTGACTGCATTTACCACAGCACTCGCATTTTCCAAGCATTATCTCACTTAATCCTTGCAAGCCTCTGCCAGGGACATATCAACCTCATTTTGTTGATAAGGATGCTGAGGATCAGAGAGCTTAGTTAGGTCCTTTGACCAAGATTACACAGCCAGTTCATGGGAGAGCCAGGCCTAGAACCAGCCAAGTCTAACACCAAAGCTCATGCACTGTTCCTCCCAAAGTACAAATGAGGCTGTTCCAGGTAGGTGGGTAGGATGGAAAGTGAGGTGTCATCTGTAAGGTGCCTGCCACAGGTGGATCATACGTGGAGAGTGCTCCAGGAGTGCAGGATGGAGATGGGACAGGGAGGGTGGACGATGCACAAGAGAGAGGAGGCGGAAGGGAAGGGAAAAGAAACAGATGGAGACAGAGACAGCAGAAAGGAGAGACAGAGACAAAGAGAGAAATAGAGACAGAGCGTGGGGAGGTAGGTGGAAAGCAGAAATTGGGAGGCAGGGAGGAGTTGGAAGACAGGGTATCAGTGCTTGTTTTCAGTCTTCTGAAACACACCAGGGAAAACCCTGTGGGAATTTACAACTGTAACAACAACCTATTCACACAATTTTGTTACAGATGCTGAAAAAGCCTCACCAACTCTCTAGGGAAATTTGAGGTAAGCTACCCCCCAAATTTTAAGATTATAGAGCACTTAATAATTCACTTGTTCACACATTTCTTCACTCACTCACTCACTCACTCACTCACTCACTCACTCACCTGTTTCTTCAACAAGTTCTTATTTATGCCAAGGAACATGCTGGGCACAGGATCAAACGGTGAACAGGACCCTGTGGCTACCAGTCTGGTGGTGGAAACAGACAGTAGAATGGGTGAATGGGTGATTATACTGGAGTGTGGTTTGAAGAAAGGGAATGTAGAAGTGTGCGGAGGGCCTTATCTAAACGATGGAATGAGTCTGGGCGGGTGTCAGGGGAGACTTTAGATACACGATGGATGCCAGGAGGCTGCTCTTGCAGGGTGAGGGTGAGCGATGCATGGAGAAACCACTCCTTGCAGAGGAAATACCCACATATAAGAGAGCATGCAGCCCCTCTGAAGAGCTGGAAAGAGAGCTCATCTTGTTCTCACCCCAACCCTACCTCAGCTGTGGGAGGTGAGCCAGGCAGAGGCATGGGAAAAAGCTTGGCCAGGTCTCAGGGTGTGGATGACAAGCAGATTGGGGCTGGAACTAAAATCTGGGTCTCTAAACAATGTAGGGGAGCCAGAGATTTATTTTGTGGCTTCTAGTTTTTCTCACCCCTGGGCTTGAGCTACCTTTCTCTAAGATATCTGTCAGGGTCTCCTAAAGAGGCCCTCTCACGCTGGGCCTGTTGGAAAAAGATGCTAAGAAGGGGTAGATGGATCCCGTGGGAAGACCACCCTGAAACTAGAATGACACTCAGCATAATAGGATCTTGCTATGATTATCCTGCCATCTCAGCGGGTACCATTCTGTCTGAACTCCAGGGTGTTTGAAGCTAGCAAGGCCTGATTCATCAGGTGCAGCTCTTTTCACTTATTGCCCAAACTGCTTGTAAAGTTGCTATGAGCGACGTTAGAGTCACAAAGACATGACTCAGAACTTAAAATTAGTGCACAAGAAAGGAGATTTGGAGATGTTGGGCCGATACTAGAAGTTTCAATTTGTAGTTTGAATGTTAGAGCATCAAGCAATATTCATTGATTTATTCATTCAACAGACCTACGATGCGTCTGGGACTCTTAGAAGCTGAGGATACAGAGGTGGACCAGACATGATCTCTGTCTTCATGGAGCAACTTGAAGAACCTTCTAGCCTTACCTTCCCATTCAATAAATGGATAAATTAAGGCCCACGGAGGAGGACCGATCCATACAGGTCTTATGGTGGACTAGTCCCATCTGGCAGAGGTGGGACTAGAACTTAGGCTTCTCACTGCCAGGCAAGAGCATGTTCCATGTTTCCAGGCTTAGAAAAGAGAAAGGGTCTTTTACTGAGGCTATGAAGACCAAGTGGAGAGGGTCAAAGCAATGATGGATCACTAACTGGGGAGTGGGTGGGCACAAAGGTGCAGGGAGATGGTTAGCCATAGTTTTGTTAATACACCTTTTATTTTAGAAGAGTTGTAGTTTTAAGAAGCATGAGTACAGAGAGTTCCATATATTCCACATCCATCGAACATTAGTAGGACATACTTGTCACAATTAATGAACCAATATTGACATATAGGATGTCCCCCCAAAATGTATACACCACTAAAAGCTGATAGTCCAATGGACATTTCTTTTCAGATTTAACCCATTGGAATGAATAATTATCCGAAGTGTGTATACATTTTTTGGGACACCCTATATTACTACTAACTGCCCATACATTATTCAGCCTTCCTTCCTTTTTTACCTATGTCCTTTTTCTGTTTTAGGATCCTATCCAGGAGACCTCATTGCATTTAGTCATTTTGTCTCCTTAGGCTCCTCCACACTAGGACCGTTTCTCAGACTTTGTTTTTGTTGGCCCTGACAATTTTGAGAAGCACATGTCCGGTATTTTGTTCTGTGTACTTTTTAAAACAAATAAGTTTTTATTTCCATGTACCAGGCATATGCTAGATGATAAGGAGAGAGCAATAAATAACAGACAAGTGATTCCTGCTCTCTGGCAGTTTAACAATGAGTAGTAAAGTGTAGTAGCATCATTGCAGGAAGCACAGCGTGCCATGGAGGCACCCACCCGTCTTCTGCTGTGTAACGATGAGTGATCACAGATGGGTCAATGCACTGGCTGAAAACACAGGTCACCTGCAGCTCCACCTGGGTTCAAGTGTGGCATTCTCTCCCACCTCCAAAGCATCCTAGGGCTCATTTCTGGCCTGAATGACTGGAAACCTGGGGACATGAGACAAAAGCATATTGTATTCAGCGGGCATCTTACCCTATATTGTTCTGTACTTTATTATTTAGTTGTGTGACACATTTCTTGCCTACTCAAGGATGCCTCCTATATAGACAGAGGATAATGGGAAGTGGATTCCCCAAATCTGCTTGAACTACCCTACACAGTCAGCACCCTTCTTGTCTTCTACTTCAGTGGGAACATATTTCTAGAAGAGCCCTTTTTGGCTGCATTGTAATGGCTCTGTGTGCTCGTCTGTCTCCTCTGCTCTATGGGCAGCTCCTCTAG